TTTAACTCCTTTTCCTTATTTGAACTTCCATGCCCCTCTACTTTTGGAGTGCCCCATTTTTCATAGGCTAACTCATTAGTTCCCCTTATACTTATTAACATTTCCACCACCGTATCACCATATTAATAGGCAGTTACCTTAAGAAAGTCTCCAACATCTCACCTTGGCTACCAATGGTCATCTACTAATCTTTCTCTCAGATGTTATCCAAACTCAGCAATTATTTCAGAAAATCAGCATATCACAAACATAGACCCAAGCTAGGCAGGTTTATTATTAACTTGCTTATGTTAACTTATCCTAAGTCCGATGGTCTAATTTTGCTAAGCTAAATATTTTACAGGACTGAGTCTTGTACACCCTGTATTATAACATTAATTAATATTTATGTTTCACCTCTATATTCTAAATATACCTGATATCTTTTATCTTTGGCTACATCTTCCTTTTCCCTTTGCTGAAGCAGGTTTTCCTTTCAAGTTAAAGTCAACATATTGATAATATGGGCCTGATCATTACTCAATGAGTCATGCCAATGATGTTAATAAGAAGTATTGCAGGCTCTGGCCCATACTGGACTAAAAATAGACTAACTGCACAATCTCTAGCCAAATGAACAGTAACAGAAAGACTGAACTCCCTCTTTTTATCCATGCAACATGATAGGATATCTGCATCATAGATGATATTTCAGAGCATTACAGGCCAAAGTATGACAGGTGTTGTCATGATCTCTTTTTCATAGACAGATATACAAGAGTGGTCACCATTGAAATGATGAATTGACATATGACCACAGATACCTCATGGTTACCACAGCTATTTCCTATTCTAAGTATATGGGGAAATTGTGGTCTCTCTGCCCAGGCTACTTTGCTTCCTGTGTCTCCAATATCTCCTCTGGGATGTCCCTCTGCTTCCTCAGACTTAGCATGGATAAATCAAACCCTCTCATCGTTCTGTCTACAGATTCCCCTTCCTCGCTATTAACAGCTCCTCTCTCCTCCCACTCCTTCAAACTCATATGACACTGGGGTTGTCTTTGGTTATCCATGCTCTTGCCAAATATTGTCACTATACTACTTCCTCTTTAACATTTCTAACATCTGTCCCTTCCTGTCCATCCACACTGCCAAAATCTTGGCTCACACTCCCATTCTCTCTGATCTCAACCTCTGTAAACACCCCTTCTCAGGCCTCTCGGTCTCTTACTTTGTGCCTCTTTATTTTACCTGTTGGATAAATGATCTTCCTTTCCCACTTCTCTGACCATATCAGCCTCCTTCTTAAATCTCTTTAAAACTCCTCATCCTGATGTTGAAGGCACAGCACAGCTCTGTCCCAGCCTACATATTGACACCTTTTTTCTACCTACTTCCTACCCCGATGCTCCACTTATCTCCTCCTACTTCCACCTTCAGGCTTTTTATCATCTGCAACATCCTTATTCTCCCACTACATCAAACATCCTCTCCCATCTACCTTCAAATCCCTATTTTAAAAAAATCTCTTCCTTTACATAGCTCTCCACCACTGACCTCTATTCCTGTGCTATTATGCTTTTCTTTTCTCCGTCTTATTCTCCAGTTTAATACTCTCATCTTTCAAGCTTCAGACAAAATATACACTTTGCATGTTCTTTATGTCTTGTAACCATCATCTCCATCTTCACTCTTTCTTATGTGTTGTCATAATTTCCTATGTTTATGTAACAGAGGACCCCATCCACCAATCTGATCAGGGTGGGTGGATGCCTGTGCCCACATGGAGCCCCACAAGCCCTATGCACGGACTTCACTGAGGTTTGGGACTAGTGTTAGTGTCCACAGAGACCAGATAGCAGGATCAAGGCCTCAGCTATTCAGGGTAAGGAGCTTTATCTCTGTTTTCTCTTTAGTACCATGGATGGAAGGCCCTAGGTAAATATGAAACAGAAGAAGATAATTTCAGATATCGCTGTGTACTGAAGTTTACAAATGCTGATTTTTTTAAAAAATGGAGACCACTGTACATGAGATATGCTCACATATATAGAATAGAATCTGCATAATGACATCACTGTGTCACAGAAGAACTTCATTCTATCAGCAGTCATTAAAACCAGAACTGCTATTTATACATCAGAATTTACTGAAATACCCAGTGCCTTTCTTTCTACTTTACTCTAAAGGAAGTTTCACTATGTCTATATTTACAAGACTGTAAGCACCATTAAATACTCAGCATCTGTTCCCTAAGGAACCAGCATTAACTACAGTAACTTCCTATAAGTACAACAGATGGTACTATGGTATTGCAAACTCTGCAGAATGGCAGATATTGAGTCTTTAATATCAGCCGTTGGACAGTGAAAAAATAGATCAATATAAGATAAGAAAACAGTTGCCTAGCTTCTGTAATGCAATAATATTAAGAGAAGGACATCCCTTGCTGTGCTTCATTGGCCCATGTTTGTCTGCAATAGTTTTTTCTACAACATGCACACAAACAGGAAATGGATTTTTTTTCTTTTGTTCTTCAAGAATGAAGCTATTTTCTGACATGTCTCAATCTATGCAGAAAAACTACAATTGTAGGGATGGTCTCTGAATTTTTCTGGACCACTCTATACCGCTATATGCTTAGTTTACCATACATTGTCTTCATGTCAACTGGAACTAATCACTATCAATTATAGGCCTTTGTTGTTCTATTTAAACAAATATATATTACATAAATACATATGATCCAGAAAAATTAGTTCTTATATAGTGGACAGTTATGAAAAGGCATTTAATAGTATGTATAAAGTAGTACAGTTTCATAGTAAGCTGTGCTGTATTTCTATTTGAGAGGCAAAGATGTCATGTGCCTTTTCCATCTATTGAACTTTAACATCCAATTGTTAGAAGCTGTAATGTAGTTATACACAGCTGTGACTGAACAATTAGGTAAAAAACTAGGGCGAGACTGTGTGTCCTGGTGTGAGTGTGAGGGCTGGAAGGACACAAGGAATTTTCTCCACAAGGGCCAGGCATAATAACAGTCCCTGTGCTTTGGGGAGGGCAGGGACTGATCCCTTTTAGTGTCATCAGAGGTGGAAATTACCCAAATGGGATGAGTTGAGATGAAGCCATGGCCTCCCGCGATCAAGTGCATCAAGGGATGCAGACTGCACCATCCAAATTAACAGTGTCGATCTTAGAGAAAAGTTGTGCCCACTGACCCAATGCAAATGATTGCAAACATTACCCCCTCTGGTTTACATTGTATTATATTCTTAGAGCACAGACACTGATAAACATTGGCCTTTAGTGTTCAGTCATGGATAACCACGTGGATATGCACATCAGTGCATGGAACAGCCATGATGATCTTGTGTTTCCATTGGTAAAGAATCGGAGTGTCCAGCACTGACTACAGTGCTAAGCATCCTAAACTGAGTGGGATAGGGTAGACAGCCCTGCCCCAATCCATCCTTCTGCACACACCTGGAGTGCAGGGTCAGTACCTTGGAGCAGGAAGTGAAGGGAGAATACCCCCTTTTAGCATGTTACACAGCTCCTGCTCTAGCACACATGCTGACAGCCATTATGCCCAAACCTGGCTTCTGCAACAACCCTTGGTGTCGGCTCTGGCTGCAAACACCAGAAGAGATACTTTAGTTCTTAGAGAAAAAGTGAGTTAATCTAACTTTCAGTTACAATGTAATAGATATTTTTAATGTATTTTGATATTGCCTGTAGCTCATGAATGAAATTCAGTTCTTACAATACACTTGTAAAACATTAAATTACAGTGATCTTGAAAGTTTCCTCAATTATTTATAATCTAGACAGCTGCTGTGGCTACAGCAAGAATAGCAGCCAATCTCTACCAAGGAGTAAAAGTAGCAAAGATAAATCTGTAAAGATGTTTTTCTTTTTAAGGAGTGGTTCTCTGTGGATATAAAGAGGATAACCTCAAAGACGGGGGGAAATGGAATAGTAAAACACAAAATAGTTTCAGGCTCTGGGATGGAAAACTGCTGCCAAACCTTTAACCCTTCAACTGGTTCCATCATCAGATATATACAAACTGAACACACAGTGAAAAAATTTAAGAATTAAAACCACACATAAAATATGGTATAGAAGTTATACTAAAATAATCCTAAATTCAGTATCCAGCTGTAATTTGTACATATTTTAGATTTAATGTCATCACATGGATTCTGTAAAAAAATACTGAAGAACAAAGGCCTTTATTTAAAATATATTAAATAATTTCCTTCTTACGTACATTTTAAATAATCTTATTACTGCTAATATTCTCAAATATCTTGTCTAAATATTAATTGCACTAATAGCAAACATACTCTTCATGTACTGTATACTTTGAGTTCTCCTACTGTATCTTTTGGTGCTTGGTTTCACAGATTAGATACAAACCAGATAAGTATGAACGTTTTACAGATAAAAACTCATCACTGAATCAAAAAAGACAATGCACATTTTAAATTTTTCATTAGAACTTCCAAAGACACATTTGCAAATTCCTTTCTATTTTGGCATAACCATCGTTAATGTATGAAAAAATTCTGTCTTTTGGAAGGACCTAAAATATTGAGATGATCTTAATAGAGCCTAAGAGATCATAGTCTGTTAGCCTTAAAATTCTTCATTTTATTTGCAGCAACCTTGACAAAAAGCCAGTTGCACATCTATTTTCCTGCTTCTGCAAAAACTGTTATGAAATAAAAGCACAGTATTTACTTTTTGTATATTCTTATTTAAACAGACTATCACAAAAACATTAAAATATCACAGAAAGAAAAGTTATGTACCTTGTACTAATAGATTCAGATCCAATCCTTCTCCTTTTGACTTCAATAGGATGAGAAATGGATCATCAGTTCTACTAACAGTCCAGATTTCCCCTTCTATATTGGTGCAAGCATTTCACAATACTCAGTTAAATTAACTGTCACACTTTACTAGGAATCGAGTAACACACATATGCACTGCTGCTTTGCCACTTACCATTTGAGATCTGTTCTTTGGACAGCCATTGATGTCTTCAATCTTTTCATTCGCTGAAAAACAAATATAAAAGGTAATGCAAAAAGTGTAGTAAGGACACAAGTACCAGTTATTTTCAGAGCTCTTGTTGCTAGCTAAATCAAGTGGCCTAAGATTGTAGTTGTCCAATCAAAGCAAATGTGTGAAACATTGAGACCCATGCAGTGGCTGGATTTTTCTCATGGGTCATTCCTCCAGAGACAGCTGGAGCAAGGTCATCATCATTTCACAAGGAGACAACTGGGCTGACATTTCTTAAAGTGAGAGGTAACTCCTTATACAACCAAATGCTTAAAAACTGGATACTGCACTGCATCACTGGTGCGCGCGTGAGTGCACACACACAACATGTGTGAAGATGGATGTGCGCAGGGATCATTAATTTCATAAAGTGTATGCGTATATCATAGATTTGATGACTAGAAGGGACCACTGTGGTCATCTAATCTGATGTGATGACATCTACCTAATACAGACTTGCCTGAATTAACTGTTGCTTTAAGTTCAACAGCTGTGGCTGAATTAGAGTATATATTTTAGAAAAACATTTAATATTGATTTTAAATTTCCATTAATAGGGAATCCACCACAACACCTGGTATGTTGTTCCAGTGGTTAATTACCTTCACTGTTAAAAAATTACACCTTTCTTCTAGTCTGAAGTTGTCTAGCTTCATGTTCTAGCCATTGGATCTTGTTATACCTTTGCCTGCTTTACCTTTGCATCAAAATTCTATTCCCCACGTAGGTGCTGACTGTGATCAAGTCACCCCTTAACCTTCTCGTTGATAAACTATTAGATTGAGCTCCTGGCATCTACCACTATAAGGCACATTCTCCAACCCTTTAATCATTCTCATGGCACTTTTCTGACCCTCTCCAATTTAGGAATAGCCCTTTTGAAGTGTGGACACCAGAAATGGACACAGTATTCCTGTAGCAGTTCCACCAATGCCAAATACAAAGATAATATATATCCCCTTTGCTCCTATTCCATATTCTTCTGTTTATACATCCAAGGAGCACATTAGCTCTTTAGGCCTCTGTCACCCTGCAAGCTCATGTTCAGCTAATTATCCACCATGACCCCACCCCGCACAAGACTTTTTCAAAATCAGTGCTTCCCAGGATATAATCCCCCATCCTTTAAGTATCGCTGCATTCTTTTCTCCTAGATTTACATCTTTACTGTATTGAAATGCAAGTTGTTTCCTTGTGCCCAGTTTACTTAGTGATTCAGATCGCTATGTATCCGGGACCTCTCCTCTTTATTGACCACTCCCCCACTCTTTTGGTCATCTGCAAATTTTGTCAGTGATGATTTTATCATTTCTTCCAAGACAAGTGTTAAACAGCATAGGGCCAAGAATCAATCTGTGCCAAAATCCCACTAGAAACATACCCACTTGATGATGATTCCCCATTTCTAATTATATTTTGAGACTTGTCAGTTTTTAATCCATTTAACATGTGCCATGTGGATTTTGTATCTAGTTTCTTAATCAAAATGTTATGTGGTACCAAGTCAAATGCCTTACCAAAGTCTATTGTATCAACACTATTACCTTTATCAACCAAATTTATAATGTCACAAAAATGATATTGAGTTAGTTCAATGAGATCTATTTTCCATAAACCCAAGTTATTAGCATTAATTATATTACTCTTTTAAAATTCTTTAATAATAGAGTCCGGTATCAGCTGTTCCATTATTTTGTTTGGTATTGATGTCTGGCTGACAGGCCAATAATTACCCGGGTAATCCTGTTTATATTTTTGCAAATTTTGTACATTAGCATTCTCATGGTCCTCTGGAACTTCTCCAGTGTTCCAAGATTTATTGATAAAGTAATATAAGCAGTCCTCAGCCAGCTCTTTTAAAACTCTTGGATGCAAATTATTCAGATCCACAGATTTGATGATGTCTAACTTTAGTAGCTACAGTTTAACATCCTCCTGAATTACTGTTGGAATGGAAAGTATTTCATCATCATCTATCCATATATCAACTGTAGTGTTTTTGTTTTTTGGGGTTGGCTTGTTTTTTTTTTTTTTGTTTCCTCCAAACACAGAATGGAAATATTTACTGATGACTGTAGTAGGAAGAGAGCCTGAGACATAAGCCCTGTATCAGAGATCTGGTATGAGGCAGAGCCTGCTCACAGAATATGGCAAGAACAGGTCTTATATTGCAGAAATACACATTCCTAAAACAGTGCTTTTTTGTTTCCTCCAAACACAGAATGGAAATATTTACTGATGACTGTAGTAGGAAGAGAGCCTGAGACATAAGCCCTGTATCAGAGATCTGGTATGAGGCAGAGCCTGCTCACAGAATATGGCAAGAACAGGTCTTATATTGCAGAAATACACATTCCTAAAAAAGTGCTAAGCACAGAGTACTCACGCAAACACATCCTCATATCAAGTGGTACCAGAACATCCTGATATCAAGGATGGTACAAAAACATTCCCCAAGGATAACAGAAACACACTGACCCCCCCTAAAAGATAAGGTCAGGATGACAGTACGTAACTTGTTTATATCAGGGTATAAAAATGTATCTCAGAGGGAGTATCTTTGGCTAGCCTAGGGGCCAGTGGAAAGTCCCGCCATTGACTGAGCTGCATCCATTGTCATGGGTATACAAGTCTCAATAGCTCATGGAATCTGCCAGGTGCTATTACCGTGCTTCCTCAACAATAAACCTGGCTGGATGCCTTCGTACCTTAATGGATCTTGTGATCATTGGGTGGTTCGCTCAAGGTCTGCTCTGCCAACTGTCTGTGTAGAGCTGGGACAGCACACAGGGAAAACATACACATGCAGCCAAACATCTGACCACAGTGACTTCAGCCTTTTTGCATTATTATTGACAATTCTACCATTTGGACCAATACCATTGCTAGAACTCCTTTTGTTCCCAGTATGCTTAAAATACTCCTTCTTATTGTCCTTTACTCTGCTGGCCATTGACATCTTCTAGTGTCCTTTTGCTTCCCTTATCAATTTTCTATAATTTCTAGTTTCTAATTTATATTCATTGCTATCAATGTCCCCTTTTTCCAATTTGTTATAGATTGTTGTGTTTTTAAAAATATTTTTATAGCTTTGTTCACTTCTCCTCTAAGCCAGGCAGGTTTTTTAACCAGTGTAGCTTTCTCCCAATTGTGACCCTGTGCTTTCTTTGGGCATCTAAGAAAACATTCTTAAATAGTTCTTAATTTTATTCACATTTTTCTGTTTAAATTCTCTCTCAGCTAATTTGTCTCATAATTCTCTTCTGCTTTGTAAATTTGGCACCTTTAAAGCATAGGGGTATATATTGCTGATTTGGAATCATGGACAGGTATCAATACATTATAAACTAGAAGAAAGAATTGGAGTTGGTGGTCACATATCTTCTGTGAGGAAATCTTTGGGCTACAGAAAAAAAGAACTAGATTAGGCTCAGGGCTCTCCCATAAACAGGATTCTGTGTACTCTGTAGCAGAATGGGACCAAATGCACTACCAACCCCTAAACTCTGTGGCAGCAACTTCTATAATCCACAGCAACGTTAATGTATTCCATTCCATTCCCCTCTAGCCACAAGCACACACAACTGTAGAGCATAGCTGGAAATACTCACTGCCCCAAAATTTGTCAATGGTTATTTTCAAGGATAGTTTTTCCACAACCACCATTCTCTCCTGCTCCACTCCCTGGCCTCAACTCCCATAGCATGGTCCACACCACCCAGTGGTTCCAGGTGGCTAGGGATAGCAGATGGAAGAGAGAGCTGCTAGAAGAAATGGCAAAGGGTCATATTTGCAGCTTGCTCAGCAATAGTTGTAGTGGTCTTTGACTGCAGCCTGGCTGAACTTCAACCCCTATCTTTCTGTTTGCCTAGAGAACAGTTGAATATGGCTCTCTGCAGACTCATGCAGATGACACTGCATCACTTACACAATTCACAATTTTGAGTTTCTCTCTGCAACCATAAGAGCTTGAAACAATCAGATTCTGGAGCACAGTTCTCAGCAGGAAGTAAACTCCATTGCAAATTCTGCAACCTCAGAATCCGGACTACATGGGTCTTTCCCGTTAACCCTTATTTACTGCAGCCCCATCAAGCTTTGATTATCTTCCTAGGCTCTTCCCTGCACAGAATGGGTTTCTGTATCATTAGCCTGGCCTAAAATTATTCTAAAACCAACATTGTACACTATGGGGTAATAGCAGTACAGCTCCAAAGCTGGAGAGATATTTCACCATTTCCCCCATGGCACTTTACTCTGGTTTTATGTGAGTGAAATGAATTTCACCCTGAGATTTTTAAACGTTTCTAAACTTTTGCCACTTTTGATGTATACCCTGAGGATGTCTGATGACTTCTCTCTTCCCCTTTATTAAGCTAGACATAGCAAAAGCAGCTTAACTCAGTGATAAAAGTAGTATGAACAGAAAGAACCATTTTTTCATAGATAGAATCTGAATCAAAGGAGAGAGAAGGGAACCTAAAGGAAGGTTTGGTTTTATTTCTTCTGTGGCACGTGCATTATAATACTGTGAGACAGGTTATTAGAGTCAAAAGTATATGGAAACATGAGGGGGAAAGAGGGTCTCTACCACAACGTACTGTAAAGTGTTCTTTAAATCTCTTGGTCAGGCAGCTGCTGGTGTCCCAGATATAGATATGCATTCCCCACAAAAATAAAAATCCTCAACAAATGGCACTCGATACACTACATGAAAAGTTATAATAGGAATGATTCTAAACTGCCTTGGATAAGGACCATGCAGAGCAGAACATGGGTGGATATATAGAACCTTTTATACAAAAAGTAGCTCAACACACTGTACAATGAGTTAAGTTCTTTGTTACAAACAGCTTTGTTACAAACCTCAGCCACATCTTTGGACCTTACAATAATTTTTCCCGAGTAAAAGGATGTTGGCTAATACTGTTCATAAAGTGCTAAAACTTTTACTTGGACAGCTATCCAGACCCAAGCAGAAGAAATCTTTGCT